CAGAGAGGTGACAGTGCCCGGAGCACAGAGGTGACAGTGCCCGGAGTAAGGCAATGCCAGCCCTGCAGAAGGCAGAGTCGAATCCTCCCCACCCAAAACCCCTCCAGGGTTCAGAGCCCTGCACAGGAGCCCCCAGGGTCCCCCCAGGAGCAGTTGGGGACTTTGGGAGCTGGAGAGGGAAGGGGGGACCAGCTGGGACAGGGACCCCGAGGGGGATGTGACACAAACCTCCAGCTCTGTTCCCCTGGAGAAGAATCACCCTTGCCCAGCTGGGCACTGCACCAGGGACAGGCAGCCCCTGGGAGCTGGCAATGTGCAGGACAGCAGCAGCAAAGTCATTTTCCTCCTCTTTTTTTTTTATTTCAGCCAGAAAACAGTTGTTGAACAGATATTTTCTGGCTTTTATTTTATTTTTTTTTTCCCTCCTTGGCTTGGCCAAACCCCAACCTCTTAAAAACGTTGATGGAAACGGACGTTTCCCTCTGCTTGATTTTGTTCCCATCTCTCCAGGAAGGCAGGGGAGGCCAAGTGGGGCTTTCCCTCCTCTTTTTTTTCTTTTTTTTTTGGGATGGGAGGACCGAGCCCCCCTATCCCAGTTGTCCCAGCACTTCCACACCACGAGATGCTGGAGGGATGAGCTGCCCCTGCAGCCACACACACACAAATTAAATCAGGCTGCTGCAGTGCCACAGCTGCAAGGGATTGTGTTGCTGACTTGGGAGGTAGCAGAGGTCACAGCAGCAGCCTGGAGAGAGGGAACAAAAAAAAAAAAAAAAAAAAAAAAAAAAAAAAAAAAAAAAAAAAAAAAATCAACCAGCTCCCCCCCTCCCCGCAGAAAGTGTCTGAATCCAGTGTTTGTTTTCACTTGTCGGATCCGAGCTGGGGTTTGTTGTCTGGTGTAAATCAGGGGTGTCTCCAGCAGGATTAGTGGGGTTTCAGCAGTGCCAGGCTCGTGGCAGGAGGATCAGCCCCTCGTTAGGTTTTAATTGGGCACCTACAGGACACGGGCACTGCTTGAGGAGGGGTTTGTCTGTTTGTCTGCTTTTCTATTTTTTTGTTTTTCTCTTTTTCTCTTTTCCTGTTTTTCTGTTTTCTGTGTGGGTGCAGAGTGCTGTTGTTGAGGTGTGTGAGAATAAAGCCCAGCTCACTGGAGGATGGAGCAGCCAGAAAATTCAGGAATTTTTCTGCAGCTCACACAATCCCAGAATGGGTTGGATTGGAAAAAAACCTCAAAGCTCATCCAGTGCCACCCCTGCCATGGCAGGGACATTTTCCACTGTCCCAGGTTTTTCCAAGCCCTGTCGAGCCTGGCCTTGGACATTTCCAGGGATCCAGGGCCAGCTCCAGCTTCTCTGGGAATCTGTGCCAGACCCTCACCATCCTCACAGGGAGGAACTTCTCCCTGATATCCAACGTAAATCTCATTTATTTCAGTTTAAATCCATTTTCCCCTTGTTCTATCACTTCATATCCCAGTAAAAAGCCACTTTCCTGCATTTTTATCAATCCCTGA